GAAGTCAGGCACCTACAAGACACACAGCTCCGTGTCAGTGCTGCGGCACGTGTGAATCTTCTCTGACTCTTGGCCAAACCGACTCCCCCAGAGCATCAGCAGTGCCATCACTAAGGCCTCCTCTGGCCCCTGCAGACTCTCTTTTTTCCCCCCTTCCACAGACAAAACTAGAGGAACCAGGGAGGATTTAAGCACATCACATCCATAGCAATGACTGCAGTGCCATTACTAAGAAACTTCTGGCACAAGCCTGCATGGTTTTTCTTCTGCCGCTTCGGCTCTTTTCTGCCCACCAAACTGGCTCAGCTCTTTTCTTACATTTTCAGTTAAGGAAATCTGATATGCATAAAAATGTTTTGTTAAAGAACATCTGAACTGTTTTTCTTTGTGTGTATAAAAATAATGCTAATTTTAAAGAGAAACATAAAAGGATTATTAAAATGCTAAAAAACTGAAGTTATCGGTGTGTTCTTTGCTTCAGCAAAAAAAATGAAATCTGAGAAAATGAGCAAATAACAGTACTTGATGTTGTCACATTATTTACTTGTCCAGCAAACCCCTTTCCTGGTATTATCCGTCTTGTCCATTTAGACTGCAAACTGGTTTGGGTAGGGATTTTCTGTGACTCTATTTGGAAAAATGTGATCCCGTTTTTAGATACTATGTAGGTACTGCTGCAATAAATGTTATCATTAACGTCGAAACCTGTGGTTTTGCAAAACTTGATATTTTTTTCCTAGGTTTACCCAGACTACAGGGTAACAGTGGACATATTATAGGTAAGCTGTTTTAATAACAGTAAGTAAGAAGTCCTACTGTTAGTAAAAGTATGCTAAAGCAAATATATCCTATCTTCATGAGACTTCAGTGTTTTAATCTCTTCACATTACCTATAAATACATAAAAACTTCCTTTTAAAGGCCAGATACTGCTTATCAAAACCGTTTCACAGAATTAAACTTTTAGTACACTGTAAGCAATGAGATTATTCTTTCTGAATATATTATATTCAAGCAGAAAAACATCTGTATTAAAAATATCATGCACATAATCTTTTACACCTTTCAGAGCACATATGCTTACTGAGCATGTGGTCTGTATAAATATACAAATATATATTTAATTATAGATTTAGCTATATATAGTTTTTATATATCTGTATTTAATATACACATCTACATAATTAATCCATGTCTGTATAAATAATTGCAGGAGAGACATCCCTTTAGGAAAGGCTAGACCTTGTAGACAAATAATCGATTTACAACAAGAAAAAAAAGAATAAACTTCTTCATTCCTTCCTGAACTTGCACAAAGAATAAGTCATACAGAAATATTTTTTGTATCCTTTAACCTATAAAGCTGGGCATCTTAATTAGCCAAACACTCTGAAAAATTTCACATGAGTGAGATAGACTTTTATTCTAGAAAATATATATTAGGCAACACATGCAAGAGGATAATGATGTCCAAAGCTGGAGTCTTCCAATACTGAGTGCTGTATATATCACAAAGACATTTCTTTACAGTTAAACCTTGTATTTCTATACCTCTAAAGTTGCATGCCAATAAAGCTTAAACCTGTCAAAAAAATTAATACCCCCCTTTCTGCAATTCAGATCAACTCAGAGATATGCAGTAGAAGTAAATAAACTTTTTTGCATGTTTATTTAACCTCAAGACAATATAACCTTGTGCATTATTTGAGCAACAATATCACACAGGTAGTAAATGTGTAATTTCTATTTTATTTAGACATAAATTTTAAATATATACTAGAGATCAAATATGTACATATTAACTAACTCAGTTGAACAACTGAGCTGAATTCAAAATATGTTGTAGAACAGGAGAAACTACTAGGCAAGCTTTCTACATTTAAAAACAACTATGAAATTTATAATGGAAAGTAAAATAAAATATTCTTTGTTACTAACATTCTCGATATGATGACCAAATGGTGACAATGAAGTAATGAAGCCTTTTTCATTAATACTTAATTGTCATAAACAATTACGGCAAAAAAATCCCAAGAGTCTAGACTAAAGGAGGTAGGTGCCTCCAATTTTATTCTATTGGATTTGGGTGCCAAAATTCTATTACGATTCCTTTAGAAACCACAATTTTACGAATTTAAGGCTGAAAGAGATTGTTATGACCATTTAAGTTTGACATGACTAGCAGATTACAGAAACTCATTTAACAATTCCTGTATAGGAATTTTAATAATTTCTTTTTTAAGTAATCTACAATTTTTTAAGAAGTACAGCCAGCAAAAGTATCTTTAAAATGGAAAGTCTAATACTCCCTTGCTAAACTAATCAAATGGTAAATGATGTGCTAAACTAATCAAATGGCAAATGATGTTTCAATGGCCATTAAATAAAAATCAGAATCAATGCATTAAAACTATATAAAGGGGGGAACACTATAACGGTGGAAAAAAGCACTCTATACCCCAAACTGGACTCCTGCATTACTACTTACTAGAGAAAGGTAGACAAATAAAGATCTACTCAGGTAAATCCATTCAAAATCATCTTTTTTGACTTTTGAGAGATAACAGTCATAAAAAATGCATTGCTTTTTTACAGCTTGAGCTGAAACGTATATAATTATCAGATATATAATTTATTAGAACACGTAGATCAGCTTTCCTTTGGTTCATTTCATTAATTTAAATAACGGACACTGTAAATATTAATATTAGGTACAGTTCAGTAAGTAGACTTTAAATGAACTGGAAAAGATCTATCATTTCAGAAGAGGAAAAAATAGCTAAAAATAGGTTTTATCTAGAAGTGCCTAATCTTAAAAGGATTGAGGAATTCCAGCCTGGCTCATGTCAGAACCTTGCTGGGGTCCAGAGATACAGGTCCACTGATATCAAGCCAACTACAATTCAGGGAGGGTCATGATCGAGTGTTAAGTGTTAGTGTACACATAGATGGGCCCCAAATCCTTAAAAATGTTCTAGCTTTTCTTTCATGAAGGTCTAGTATTCCTGCTCCTCCTCATAGCGACTACAACACTTACTGAGACAGGAAGAGGCAAGCGTGAGTCTCTGGATGATCACGTCTCCTCTTCCCCATTCCTCTCTCCAAGGCACCAATCACAGGCACATGGGGAAATGTTACCTTGGATCCACTTAAGCAGAGAGGGAAACCGAAGTCTCCAAGTTTAACCAGCAAGTGCTCAAGCTCTGTTTCTCATTACTGCACATTTAGAGGAAGCCTAAGGGGTCTGCTCTCAGCTCGTAAGGGGCTGCGGTTGGAGACGTTCCAGTTTGAGATGATGGCTCTGAAGGGCACAGGTGGTCGCGCTGCGCTGTGCTGCCGGGTACAGCAGGCTCTCCAGGGACGTGGCAGAGAGCTTTGGTGTCTAAACCAAGGCTCTGAACTGAAGTCTAACGGGCACACCTAAGAGAGTCAGGTGTTGCAGCACCTGTCTTTCAGATACTCAAATTGTTATTTTGAACTCACCTAACTGAAGGTTGGAAATAATATCTCAGCTTTTGAGGAGGACTGCAGTGACATTAAGTGTTAGCTTCCAAAACTACAGTAGAAACCCCAGCAACTTTAATAACAAAGATTCTTCAGTGCATATTCTAGCTCTGTGTTTTCAGGATAGGCTGGTACCACTGAGATGCATTTTTTCAATGTCCATAAGAGCAAAAATCTTCGTTCCTAAATTTTTCATAGAGTAACCTTGTTTCCCACATGTTCTTTTAGCATGCAAAACTATAAAAAGAGAAACTCACCATTTTAAGTATTAAAATAACTGAAATTGTATGAATTTCTGACACTGATTGCACTGAAATACTTCACAGTTACTCATTAGTTTTTAATACCTTCCCATCCAACACTTCGTTATAAATCAGCAGATAATGACAATTGCACATAAATCACCTGAACCAAACAGTTTGCAGAATAGGTAAGAAAATGAACTGTTGTGAATGTTATAACATTAAGTGTATCAATACTGAATGCACAGGAATTAGGATTATATGGGCTAAACATTTTTGAAATGCCCATTGTGCAGTATTTTCCTTTACTGAGTAAAAAGCTAAACCTGAATTTCGTAAAATTTTAAACATTTACTCAGTGTTACACATGGGAAATGAGTTATTTTTTATTTTTTCTATCCATTTGCACAAGTGTAAATGACTGTGCAGAAAGGTAAGGCAATTATAAACGAGAGCTCCACAGAACTACTCTGTTTTTTTTAATAGTTAGGTCTTTACTGGTAATGTTTAGACCATCAAGTCAATGACAAAAGGGTACCTGCTCTGTGTAAGACAGCTTCCCCATTTTCTAATCCAGAGAATCTGGGGCATTACAGCTCTAATTTTTCCCAGTGTAGAAAACATTTGTGTGCAAAACCCCTGATTTATTATTGACTTAGATGGATTACCAAGCTCTGCTTCCTTCTTTAGCCTTGAACAAAGGCTAAAGTTCATGCCTTCACTGAGCAGCAGATGTTCATGAAGTTTGACCTACTGGGAGAGGAACGTGTACATGAACTCTAACTTCTGCGTATTTCACAGTTAGAAACATATTTGACAAAGCCAGTTCCCAAAAACTCAACAAAAATAAAATGTTATTTCACATAAGTGTTACAGAAAGTATCTAGGTTCACTCATTATTTACACAAGACAGAAAAACATGCCTTTCTGGCCTTCTTATTTTTCTAATTCCTGTTTCTGTGTTAACAGATTTCTAGCAGATCTCTGGAGAACGTACCACTGGTTTGCGTGAGAGCAAAAAAGAACAGTGCATCGTTATGAGCATTTCAGATTTCAAATAAGCTAGATATAATGAAAGGCTGTGGCAAGATTAGCTCTTGCCATTCAACCCTGAAAAATGGCAACAGGGCCATCAGTGTTGAAGACTAGAGACAAGTAATTCAATAACAGAATATAACAGTATAAGTTTACACCAACATGTCAGATTTAAGCTAAGCTAGAGATAATGAGAAACTGCTGTAAGATTAGCACTTACCATTTAACATCAGAAGATTGTCAGTCCCTGGATGTGGGTAACTCAAGCGACCTTAAAAAAACCACCAAAAACCAAAGAACAAAACAAAACAAATGCAGAGGTTTTAGCTATTATGCTAGAAAGCATAAAGAAAAATAACTGCTTAGAATTTAAATATAAACTATATTTCCAGTTTGCCTAAGGGAAATAAAGAGCTAATATTTAACTCCAAGCACATTAACCAACAATACCCTTGACCCAAGTTAAAGCTGACAAGAACAGACTTCTTAACCTTAATTCTCTGGTCATAAGATCTGCAATGTGCTTTGGGATCAGCTCCAATAGGATAAAGCCAATTTTTGTTTCATGACACCCAGAAATAGTGCTGACTGCTTTAGTCTTCTCTGTGAATAACTGTACTATGCACATTGCTTAATAGAGTGGCACTTCTGCAGTTAGTGCTTCTCTACTAAATCAATTTAAGAAAAATCACATAAAAAGGCATTAAGGCATTAAAATTTTATTAACCAATTTATGACTATATCTTGATGTATTATATATAATCATATTATGTACTATTTTTCAGTAAGTCTGGCAAAACTAGAGTACTGGTTTATCTACAGAATTAACAAAACTAGATAATATGACAGATACCATGTGCAACATTTTATATTGAACAAAAATTACATGAAAACCTCATATCCTGACATTAGAATTTTCCAAGTATTGCATTTTGTTACATTTGTGTAAGGTTATACTTCAATAGTTAAATGAATGGCTTAAAACGCACAGCTCAAGTGCCCGTTCAGTACAAATTCCTTTTTATCAAAGGAGAAGTTTTCTGTTTATAGGAAGCTGCAAACATACCAGTAGTGCACACTGACCTAGAGAGACGGTCACAATAGCTGCTGTGTTCGGAAGAAGTGTGCTTTAATGTGCAAAACCCTACATTTCCAGCTATCCTGCTATTCAAACAAACTTGCCTGCTTATAATCCTTAAGCATATATAAAAAAAATACTGTAACCTAAACATTTAAATCTTTTGGAGGAAACGATAGTTTGTGGACGCATAAAGAAGAATTCAGTCTGGAAGCAATGGGTGTTTAGAACTCACACAGGTTTAAAGGGGAGGATTTATGCAGATGGCTTGCTGTCACGTCCTAATAAGGCTCACTCTTTTTAGAAAGAGGAAACAGGGGAAAAATACAAAAAAAAAGCCAAAGGAAACCAAATCAGCAATTCGCATACTAAGGCTGTTGAACAATTCCTTGTAACACACTTTTCCCCGCTACTGTTGGTAAATTCATGTGATTAGCAGCAAGACTGGATATTTCTGGAAACAGCAGTTCTGTGTCCCAAGGAACACCTCTGGAGTTAAATAGAAAATGTTTCTGCTGAAAATCTGTAAGTAATAGGGTTTAATTTTTGCTCTTCCCCCTTAGAAAACCACCAACAAAATTTTCTACCAAAACCATAGAAGAGTATACATTATGTACTCTTACACTCAAAACTTCAAAATAGCAAGATTAATTTCATTTAGGGTATTTTATTCAGCCCTATTATTTACAGGCATTGTGACAAAAATGTTTTTATACAGCCATATTTCTCTTCCCACTGATTTCATTCTTATAAGAATGGATGGTATCAGAACACCTGCAGATGAAGAATTATTTGCTTTCAATTTGAAACTGTCGAGAAAGTGGTGAAGGGCAAGGGCAGCCTCCTGAGAAATGACAGACAAATACCCCCAAAAGGACTCTGCTGTCTTCTTTAACTTCTGCAGAATTTTTGAGCAGGCTTAGACAAGACATTAAATAAAAATCTTTGTAGGAGTCTCTATCTTCATGATCTTTATCTTCAAGATGTCCAGTTTTAACACAAAAGTCATTTTTTCTGTCATGCTGATCATTTACAGCTATATCTCATGTTTCTTGGAACTACAAATACACTGCCCTTCTAGCAACTCATGCTAGTATAATAAGCAAAGAATTAGGAACACGGCATCCTAAAATCACTATCTGGAAGCTGGTTTACTCAGCCTGGTCACTTTGTCTTTACTTCTTGGTTCTTTGGTCTGTAAAGGCAATACTCATTTGCCTAAGGGCAAGGATTGTGCAAGATTATTTACTGTCATCGTTTATATACAGTACTATAGAAATACTTGCAACAATATGAGCCATTTCTGGCAAATCAGAATGCTGCATCTATCTAGAATAACACTAGAAATGGTAAGAAGTTATCTCATCTTGATCCTCCTTGAGACTGTGGTGACAGTCCTTCTCCCTGCCTGTATACATTCATCCTCTTTTCCAGTTCAGCAATGTAGGTGAAAGACACTTTTTTTTTTTTATCTATTCTGTCATTACTACAGAAAAAGGGGTTAGGGCCTAGAGAAGAAAGAAGCCCACCAGTGTCAACACCTGAAGAGAAAAATTGTTTTCCAAGATAGTTAATTCTGGGCCTACAACTCTTGAGTTTGCGTTCTTTTGCCTCGCCCCCCTTTCCCTAGCTTCACAAATAACCTGCATCTGAAATATAGATGCCAAACGGAAAAACCTGAAATACTAAAGCACTCCTCATTAAGTGGGGAGAGGGTGCACTAGGGAGCTGGGCCCACCACTGCAGCATAAAACCCGTGAATCACAAAACCATCAAGAAAGCCAGTCTTGCTATGCTGTGGAGATAAGTTTGCTAGTTCAGATTATAAAAGGATTTGAGAGTTAGAAAGGAAAACGAGTAACACAGCATTCAGCATCTGTATAGCTGTACTGATACTCTTAAGTCTTATTTACAGGGTTATTTCAATTAAATAATAGTTTGTATTACTACATTCTGGTGAATTTAATACTTGTGTTTACCATCTTGTCTAGTACTTGGGACTTATAACCTTAAAAACACCTTAACATAGAAGGTTTGCTTACTTTTTCAAAATACAATCCCTGCTATTTGATATGTTAACTTAGGTCCTTATCCCTCAGATTAATTTGCTGAAGCAAAATGCAGTGTTTCTAGGGTAACCACCTGAATTTACTGATATACATAAATTCAGGACACTTCGTGCATAGAAGCGCGTGCAAGATCAGTCTTACAGTGGCTCAGATTACAAGATTTTTAGCAGATTATTCTAAATGGACATATGTAATATTAAACCTCACAGTATCATCATATAAAACAAACATGGGGGTACAATCTGACAATAATTTAGTTTGCTTCTATTACATATTTCTTTCAGTCCACTAGTTTTACTACATGTTCTTCAATGTGTTTAAAGAAAAAAAGAAAAAGTACCATTTCAAGAACTTTCTTCACTGCAAACCCTACCTAATCCCATCCCACTTCAATGTCAGTAATCTAGAATTGTATAAACCGCTCAACAGATAGGCTACTTATTCCAGTGGCCTCCGCCCACTTAAAAAAGAAATGTTAATAACATATAAAAGTGCTTTACTAATTTAAAATCAACTACAAATCAGTTAAAGAGTATCTAATATTTAAGTAATAGATGTACTGCATTCCTGAGAAATGAAAAGTAATGACTTCACTGAGTGTCTACAGAATTGAGCTCTACAACACCCAGTATTAGCAGCGTGCTGCTATCTGGAACAAACACAGCGCCTGATATTATAGCACCGTAACATGAAGTATCATGTTAGAGACATTTTCTCTGTGCAAACCTGAACTTGCAACTTCGTCATGTTACCGCTATGAATAATCCTCACGTATCATGGCTACATTCACAATAGTTTTGCTAAGGAGAAGCAGGTATGTTTGGCATTTCTTATGCAAGTGGAGTCCTACTACATTTAGTCCCCTCTTCTATATCTAAATGTGATTAATGTTAAAAGAACTGCCTGATATGTATTTTTCAAAACGTATTCTTCTGGAAGGATAACAAAAACTAAAAAGCTTGCAAATAAATTTTAGTGGGCCAGTTTATCCACTAAATCCAGTTAAAAGTCTTGCTAATCCAAACCATGAGGAAAGAGTAACAAATTTCGTTTTAGCTACATTTCTGTAATCTCATGTTACTAATATGGGCAATGGAAATTTAATTTTTTTGCTAAGTTTCTTCTGAGAATACAGATGTAGCTATGCTTACTTTTCATTTCAAGGCAAATTCATACTTACTTTTGGAAATGCACACTTTCTATTCCTATTTAACTAAACTGTTAGAGGAATTGCCATATTATTAAAACATTTGGGATAAATTTAAAACATAACAGTTGCTGTAAACATTGCTGACTCCCAGTTTTACAAGTTTGATATTGCATGACTACTCTCCTCCTCCCCTTTTTGCTTTTTTTTTTTTTTAAGTCTTAAATGGTTGAATGAAGAGTCTAAGAATCACAAATTCCTTTCCCATACTCCTTTTTTCAAGAGATCTCCTGACTAGAAGTGAAAAAGCTTCCAAATTAAGGTTTTCCCAGCATAGATCAGTGAACGGCTGAGGTTTCAAAAAGCTCAGTTTTTGAATCAGCATAGTTAAGACAACAGCACAAAACCGTGTTTGGACAACACTTAGTTACACAAAGCCTAGATACAACATTTCCAAACACTTGTGCAACAATTATATAAGTCATACTGAGGTAAAAACTGTTGTTTCTGACAGTCTATTTAAGCAAATCAGTCCATTAGTCTTAAATATATTATTATTTTAACTTAAAATTTTTCTATACGGAAAGAGGAAGCTACCATTATATGTCTAAAAGCAAGATTTTTCTTTCCATACTTCTTTGTTCTGCCTCAGAAACTCTTTTCTGAACATAATCTGAATTAGTTTAGGAAGCAGTTGAATAACTTTAAACCTTAGAGCTTCAAAACATAAAATATAAAACAATTTTTTTGAAAATAGAAGTTACCATATGCAAAGAAAGAAAATGTTCTCAACAGTGTTGCTGAGTCACCAATGCTTTTTTTTTTTTCCACTTTACTGAGCATGCACCAGCGGGTTGCTTACAAAAGATGTCTAACAGTTGAGAGCTGAGCTCAGCCGAGCTGAGGAGCTCAACTAAACCAATTTAAAGGGAAAATAAAACCAAGAAAAAGCAAGAGTCTTTTAAGTGTATCAAGTTATTTTTCCCCACAGTTAAGCCAAGTATCAGTATTTTACTTTTATTATTTATTACTAGCTATATAAAAAAATATATTTGTGTAACTTTCCTGAAAATTTGTTTTGGCCCTCAAAAAGAAACAGAAGAAAAATTCAACGTGAAGTCAATATTCCTTCTTGTTACTCCAACTAATACAGTTACAGCTAATTGAAGCCCAGTACTATCTTACATCTAGCGTGTAGAGCTGTAAGAGAGTTGGTCAGGAAACAGAAACAAATTGTAAATTTACTACACTATC